GGGCCCACTTGGAAGGGGGGCCCAAACTGCTGTTCACAAGAAATTATATTTTTAAATTTTAAATTTTTCCGCCTTTCTACAGCGCGGTTTGGCGATTACATTTTGCCTTACTTAGNGTCAAACAGCAATTTTGACAGAATATAATGATACCGCAGAACCATCTAATCCAACAGACTAAGCCAGAGCCGTAACTAGGCAGGTGCAACAGGTGCACCCGCACAGGGCCCACTTGGAAGGGGGGCCCAAACTGCTGTTCACAAGAAATTATATTTTTAAATTTTAAATTTTTCCGCCTTTCTACAGCGCGGTTTGGCGATTACATTTTGCCTTACTTAGACCCTAGATGTCTGCTCACCAGTGTTCCCAACTGTGGTGACTTTTAGAGGGATGTAGTGAGGTAGCAGAGACCTCAGAAAAATCAGCCAAAAGTAGCGACTTTTGATATTTTTTTAATTTATTTTCTGAGAAATTTAAATTTATGTTTATAGTTTTCAAATTTACAGATTTTTCTCTACTTTATAGAGCTTTCTGGCAACTACTAATATTATTACAATATACAAAACTATATTTCTAGATTTTTCTACGGTGTGCAGAGCTAGAAATCTGTAAAGGTAACATTTTGTAACAAAAATAAATCTGCCTGAGGATTTTTTTTTAAATTACTAAATTGAAAATGGTAACTCCCAAATAAAACCTTAGTCTCGAGGATGTAAAAGGCGTGCAAAAATTCTGACATCAATTTTTGCTTTATAGTAGTATGCATATGTGGTGTATACCTGAACGGTGGATTAAGCAGTAAGTGAACTATGCGGGCACGTAGGGCCCCAAAGGGGTCCCACAGCCTTTAAAATGCTACTGAAAAAAGGAATTGCGAAAACGCAGAAGACAGAAATAGTCCAGAAAAACGCTTCGATATATATAGATACATGGAAGTAATAAATGATATAGCTTTATGGCCAACAATATTAACAGATGCTATTATTGATCATATTCTTAAAACAAACCAAAAAGTATAGAAAAGGGATTTCTTAATAAACAAAAAATAAAAGAGTTAAGATAATGGAAATAGATAAAACACCAGATGAAGGAAGTAACTTGACACCCGAAAAATTTTTTAAAATACAAATTTACAGAATTCTTGACACTATTGTGTCAAATAGATTGGCGTTATGAAAAAATGAAAACTATCTGTGACGATTTTTGCTTTCTCTGTGGCTCGTCTTTACAATACATGAGTGTTGCTGATTTAAAAAATCGACTGCAGATCTCACTATTAAATATAGCAAAGATTTAAAAAAGTACGAATTCACAAGTGAAATTGAAAGTTTTAATTTTGAAGTAACGACTCTTATACAAAATACAGAAACTACATCTCCGCTTAATATTCTACAGGCTCTTTATGATTTTGGTTTAATTGAGTCTTATCCAAATATCAATGCGCTCTTCGAATATTTCTAACTCTTCTCGTTTCTTTGCTTTATGCGAGAGAAGCTTTAGCAAGTTAAACTTAATAAAAAATTATTTAAGATCAACTATCGGACAAGAACGATTATCCAATATTTCTATTATTTCAATAGAATACAATATCGTTAAAAATATTAATTATGATGGTGTAATTAATGAATTTGCTGAAATGAAAGCCAGAAAAATTCAATTAAAATAAATCTTATTAAAAATCTATTGTAATGTATTTGTTTTATTATTTTCCCAAAACCAAATCAATTAAGGGGCCTAAATGCAAATTCTTGCACAGGGCACAGGAATGGCTAGTTACGGCTCTGCTCGTAACTGATATTATCCAATCTAATTTAAAACTCACGATATCAAAGACTATCAAGCTGTAATTTGCTGTATTTGATTTGACATATTTTCAATAAGACAGAAAATGCAAGAATAATTCATAGAACAAAATTATCATCATTTTTGAAAATCATTTTTTCGATTAGCCATTTGTTAAATTGCTTTTCATCAGTTTAAATTTCTCTATTATTCCTAGTGCTTTCAAGTTCCTAGAATTATAATTAATAATAATGGCTGTAATGCCAAATGCAGGAAAATAGATGAGTGAAAGAGAAAAAGAAGAGTGTATAACTGTAGAGGATGGAATAAGAGTAATGTATGGAGTCTTAGAAGGAGGGTCTGACAAGAGCATAATAAAATTGATCTTTCCATTTATATTCAGAAGGAAGGATTGCTCTAAAAAGTTGAAGTTAAGCACAGCAATTTCTGTTAAAAGAGTATGTGTAATCTTTACATAAAGTACATCTTTACATATAACAATATTTTTTTTCTGTTTTCTATTGCAGATTGATAATTTTAATGCATGATTTTTGATGACCATATAATTTTTTGATATTTATTGTTAGAATAGTGTCCACGAGAATGAATTACAGGAACTCAGAAATGCTAGAAATAATAAAAAATGTAAACTCCAAAAATGAAGTTTAATGAATACCATAATTTGCAAGTAATTTGACACTGAAGTTGTTTTTATGTTAAATATTTGAGAATTATTACCAAATCAAGATCAGGAGTATAGTAAAGGAGAGGAAAGACATGCATATACTCCATGAAGAAAAAAATTGAAATAAAATTCTGTTCCATTTTTTTTTCATTCCTTAAGAAGCTTGCAATGCTGCAAATGAAAATATTTGAATTAAATCTGTTTTTTTCACTTGTTTTGTTTGAGATTTTAACATCTAATTCAAAGTATCAAATTTATATTTAATGATTGTGATGTATGCCTCCACTGATTTTCTTATATATACTTTACTGTAATATCTGTCTCTATAATATAAATTGGCCCTACATATACAGGCCTAAAGTACAGACAATATTTATATCAATTATTACGTTAGCAAATACAGCAGGATAGTCAAGCATTGTTCATTGCTTTGCATTGTTTCATGCAAAGCAATGACATGCCTACTGTCCTCATAAGGGTCTCACAAAACTTGAAATCTGTATGATATACTATAAATCATGAAGAAAATATTCACAAATCCATGTCAGTAACTTTCAAAATTATAACTTCAACAATAACATAATAATGACATATACCATTTGTTCAAAACTTGTCAAAAAATGCAGTCAAATATCTGGTGACTGCCAAGTGCATCAGATATAATACTTTAGGATAATGTGCACAACAGTTATTGATGCAAATATCCTAACATTAAAGCACTGTTGGTCATGTTTGGTATATTTATAAATAAATACAAAACAAATGTCCTCATTTGAGGATGCTAGGCATTTACTAATTAACTTAGGTAAAACTTTTTTATATTATATAGTATAAGAAAGTCATCATAATATTTAGAATTCAAACTCATTATTTTTAATTTAATAAATAATTCATAAATTAAAACCTTTGCTTTTCATTGAAATTAGAATTTTTCAGACAAATTACATATATTTTTCTTTTTCATTTAAAGTTATGAAAAGAAAATACAGTTACTTTAAGAAAAATAATACTTTAAGTAAAGCAGAAATGTTTCCTCAGACCTTTATTTGGACCAACTTCAGTTCACAATATCATTTAAAACAAACACAGGATACATGTGGCATTATTTTAATTATAGCTTTTTATACATTAGATAACAAATATGTCATATGTATAAAACTTTTCTTAATTATATAATATTAAATTTTTATATAAAATGTTATATATAAACAATTTTAATTTAATTTTCACTAAATTATTATTCATGTGATAATATCGAGAAAATAAGCATGCCATTTTTAAAGGGTCTGTAAAATCATGTTATTTTATTAAATGTGCTAATTCAATTTAAAGAATCATTTCAGATGTCAAAAAATTGATTAAATTTTATAATACATAATCATATCTTAGTCTAAAAAGCATTAATATTTTAGAAAAAAATTATTTATTTATTGTAAATGAAGAAAATAGTTATAAAGTTTTGATTCAGTTTATATTAGATGCTTCTTATTTTACAACTGTCACTATCTTTACTAGTTTTGTGATATAACACCTAATGTACAACTAATTAAGCAAAAAAGTAAAAATGCAAGTTAAAGTAAAATCAAATCATTCTTTTAAATAGTTTGATTAATAAAGATACAACTAAATGAAAAATCATGCCTAAGTTAAAAAATTGAGACGACATTTACAAATTTTTGCTAAAACAATTGTCATATCTTAAAGAAATCAATCGGCACAACTTAATTTTGTTTTTATTAATTTAGATACATTTTTTTATATGCACGAAAACAATAAACATATATAGCCTATTTTTTCAATTTTAGATGATAATTTCTTCTTTGACATTGAAGAAAGTGATATATTTTATCTTCAATAACAATCCGATAATAAAAATTTTTAAATGGTTTACTTTCATAAAGAATATTTCAAAATCAATAAAGTAATCATTCGATTATCTTATTTATAAATAGATATATTTTCTTTCAATTTAAATTTAAATATAGGAATCTAAATTTAAATTCAGTCTGTTTTATATTTCAAACTTGTCAAACTTAAATAAAACTTCAGAAGAGAAGATTAGGATGCATTTTTTCTAAAATTTAGTTAGAATTTTTGTATTGTATACCCTTATATATATTATAACATAATATAATATACATACACTTATTTACCAAACTGATCTATATAATACAATATAATGTACTGTACAGTATATATTATATAAATTTCATAAATGAATTAAATGACAGAAAATCATAAAGTAAACATAGTGCTTTTCCATTCCATATTACTTTAATACATATATCATTAATTTCTGCAAGTGATCAATTATATCTGAAATTGATCAATTATATCTGAAATTGATCAATTTCTGCAATTGATCAATTAATCCTTTGAAGAAAAAGAAATAAACAGATGAAAATAATTTTCAATTTATCTTAATCCATTCACATTTAAGCTAATTAAGCCTGAATTAATATATACAACAGCATATAAACACATAAACATTACCTAAACACGAGGATTTTTTTAAATTAATTAATTAATCACATACCAAAATATCCCGACTTTTTAATATTCATCTATCATATTTGAAAATTCTTGAATTATCGTAACATTTCGAAAGGTTATCGAAATATTTCTATACAAATGTCTCAAAGTAATCCACTCCTTCCGAAGCCATCTAACATATGTCACGTGAATAAACGTCACTTTTACAGGTACAGTTTAGTTTTCAATTATCCGGGATGATCGACATGTTTAAATATTTAAGAAAAAAATATATAATATAATAT